GTGTGTATCAACTGTTACAATTAGAAGGCAAGAAATTAATATTTATTAAGAGAGACAGAGATGACTTCACATCCCAAGTATGAGGCTGAAATTTTACAGGTTGAAAGCTTACATAGTCATCAAATAATGAGTGTGAGAAATCCTCAACGAGAGAAGTAATTACAACCAGATAATTGGATATTACATGCGTGTCCCTTTGGAGAGGTTAAGCAGGCAGGTGTCTAGTTCCTTTCTCCTTTCTTTGCTTCTGGAGCCCTAGGCATTGTGCTGGATGGAGTTCAGTGAGTCAATTTTGTAACAACACAACAAAAGCCTCCAGCCATCCTTCGGAGAGCCTTATATAATTGTGGGAGATAGAGACCCACAGCCATCATAAAAAGTACCTGCATAGTCCTGCAAATGAGAATGAAACTCATCTCTTCACAGAGCAGGGTTTCCCACTGTTGTACATTGCTGCTGTAGCAGTACCAGGAACAAGAAAGTGTTTCTCGAAACATGGCCTAGACAGGTCAAAACGATGTAGGGTTTAGCAGCTACAAGAACTGATGCAACAGTGAGCAGTGTGTTGTTTCAGCTAAAGCAAGCTAAAGTAAATGTGAGTAAGACTGAGTATGTGTGGGTTGTAAGAAGTGCAAATGCCAAAGATGCTCGATTTCCTGCCATCCCCTTATGCCACCCTCAGTGCTAATCCTGAAAGCATTCTCTGATCCTGTGTGGTCTAGGACACTTTCAACACTATGTGAAAAAAGCAATGAATATACACACAGATGTAGATATCATGCATACTAAGCAATTCCTTTGAGGCATTTTGCTTCAATCTACAACCTTCTTTTTCAGATAGAACTCGCAAGACATCAATTCTGCATATTTATTGCAGAAGACAGCTGTGTACGACACCAATTGGTGTGGAAACTACCGACAAGCCACCTGCTATTCCACCCAGAAGACTTTTTCCAGGTATTTAAAATTTATTCTGCTTATTTTCCCTGCTGCCTAAAGCGTGGAGGGTTTAAAGATATGCCTAGTTAACTAAATGTATGTGCAACATTATTCTCTTCAACATTTCCACAGATGATAATCAGGACTCGTGAGACTGGAATCCAAAGAATGAGAGAACGGCAAAAGTTATTAATGAAAAAAAGAACACACAAAATAATTTTAAGTAGAGCAAACCTAGCATTTATGTGCTGAGTTAAGGAAAGCCTGCAAAAAAATAAAAAGGAGAAGACCAAATCATTAATGGAACAATATTAATGATGGTGCCTGTGTACATGCGCAACATGATTAAAAATAAATGTCATACAATGCATAAATTTTAAAACTAAAACATTTTATCAGAAATGCTCAAAATTACACCTGACTCGTAGATTCATAGTCATTGCATGAACTCTATGTTCACACCCATCCCCTCTGTTACAGTAAGTCGTAGCAGGATAAAGTGTGTGTTAAAGAAAAACCTTATGATGTTAATTATTATGTGCAGCTGGTAATGTAGGTCAGCCAGCATGTTTGGGCCACACCCAATGGGGTATAACTGTATAGATTTTAGAATACAGTTTGGAGAAGCAATATGCTGTAATGCTGCTATGCTCTAACAGTGATGCTCTTTGCTATGGTGGAATAGCTATTTACTCAAGGTTTATGTTTTGCTCTCTCATTTGAATGAAGATGAAGAAGCCTTATTCTGTGTTACTTACAAGGACTATGTAAGTTTGTTGCACTGTTTGATTTTGTATGCAACACTGCAAGTTTATGCCTCTGCTGATAAGAGTAAAAATTTTCTGTTCCTTTTCCCTCTTGCCTGTGTGTCTTTTGCATGGGACTTGGCTAAGATCCGCTTCCTCTGCCTAATGTGCCCGAGACATCAGGTCAATGCTTGAATTCTATATACCATAATATTTATTTGTTTTGTCAAAGGCTTCCATGGCCGGAATCACTGGATTGTTGTAGGTTTTTCCGGGTTATATGGCCATGTTCTAGAGGCATACTCTCCTGACGTTTCGCCTGCATCTATGGCAAGCATCCTCAGAGGTAGTGAGGTCTGTTGGAAGTAGACCTCACTACCTCTGAGGATGCTTGCCATAGATGCAGGCGAAACGTCAGGAGAAAATCCTCTAGAACATGGCCATATAACCCCAAAAAACCTACAACAATCCATTTATTTGTTTATTTATTTACAGTATATATACCCTGCCCTTCTCACCCCGAAGGGGACTCAGAGTGACTTCCAGAATATACACATATGGCAAACATTCAATGCCAATTATACACTTAACAATTGACTAAGAGTTAATGGACAACAACAATCGGTTGAGTTGGATGACATTTTTAACTTGATGTATTGCTTTTTATATGTATTCTAGAATTTATTTATTGTGTATTTTGTTTTATGATATTTATTGTATTGCGTTGAATTCTTACTGTTAGCCGTTCTGAGTCTCTCTACGGAAGTAAAGAAGAACGGGATACAAAAGTTCTGAATAAATAAATAAATTTTAGGGAAATCAGTGTTGGAGAGGAATTGGAAATCTCTTAAAGGGGAGATATCTGGATATCTGTGAGAGAGGCTGACCTGTGTTTCTCGTGTTTCATCTAAGGTGACACCGGCCATACAGTCATTTTGCCTGCCTATCTGCGCAACCGCATCCTCCCCTATGAGCCCACACGGTCCTTAAGATCTTCCAGGGATGCTCTTCTCTCGCTCCAATCCCCGTCTCAGGTGCGGTTGGTGAGGACGAGAGAGAGGGCATTCTCGGTGGTGGCCCCTTGTCTTTGGAACTCCCTCCCTAGGGAGATAAGGCTGGCACCCTCCCTACCCACATTTCGCAAGGAATTAAAGACGTGGATGTTTCGTTGTGGTTTCGACTGAAGACTCCTGTGACAAACGACCTGAATCATGACCTGAATCTGAATTCCTACATTACATTACTATTTATATATTTACATTAAGCTGAATTGATCCTGCTTAATTGCTTTGTTTCCATGCTATTTCCTATGCTATTATACGTTTCTATCCACCTTATTGAACCACTTACCCTTTAACCAGTTTGCATATTGACCTCCTTCCCTCCCCCAAAATTAGTATGTTGTTTCTTGATGCTTGTTTATTATTGTTAGGCTGTTTTATGATATTTTAATTTGTTATTGTTCTGTTTTTAATTGTATTTTGCCTGGGCTTGGCCCCATGTAAGCCGCCCCGAGACCCTTCGGGGAGATGGAAGCAAGGTAGAAAAATAAAGTAGTAGTAGTAGTAGTAGTAGTAGTAGTAGTAGTAGTAGTTCTTCTTCTTCTTCTTGGTGCCTGTTTTAGATCTCTCTACTTTTGTGTGGGGGAAACACCAGTGGGCTGGAGAAAAGGGGGGGAGGGAAGGGCAGGACAAGAAAAGCCTGCTTGCAAGCCTTTTTTGGAGTCTTTTCTATCCTCTCAATTCACTTTGTGAGCAACAACACGCATGCTCGTGCAAGCAAAGTGAGCCTTGTTGGAAGATCTGAAGCAAGCCTGCTCTTTTGATGCTTGCAAAATACACAGGCAAGTTCCATTTATTCAAGGAGGGGTCCACTCTTTCCATAGGCAAGCCTTGGGATTGTGTGTCTATACACACATGAGCTATCCCAAGAGAGCCTTGTAGGCAAGAAGACCTGGGGAAAAAGTAGAAATAATAGAACTTGTCTGTAATTAGTAGCAGTTAAAACAGTGTGTCACCGGAAAGCAAAATGTCAAAAGGCAGGAGAAATCTGTCAGATGGCATTGGAGTGAGCTTTAAATGATGGAACTTCTCGGTTTGGATTAGTTTCCTTGCACACCGTTTTTGATATGAGATTTAAACGACTGGGGCAGGAGGCAAGGAAGATGGGAAGGAGAGTGGATTAAGTGAATGACTGCTTCTGCACACTTGCTCCAGACTTCTGCATGCAGTGTGTGACACAGCAATGAGGTCTGCTGTACAGTTTTCTGGGCTGTATGTTCCGGAAGCATTCTCTCCTGACATTTTGCCCACATTTATGGCAGGCATCCTCAGAGATTGTGAGGTCTGTTGAAAATAATAATCTATCTATATATAAATGCTCTGTGTGTAATGAGTACCTTAAAAACAAAAGAACCCATGAACGAAATCACACCAAATTTGGCAACAAAACATCTCACAACACAAGGAGTGACCATCACTCAAAAAAATATGATTTTGTCATTTGGGAGTTGTAGTTGCTGTAGTTGCAGTTGTTGTTTATAGTTCACCTACAATCAAAGAGCATTCTGAATTCCACCAACAATTGAATTGAACCAAACTTGGCACACAGGACTCCCCTGACCAACAGAAAACACTAGTTGGTCATGGGGGTTCTGTGTGGGAAGTTTGCCCCAATTCTGTCTTTGGTGGGGTTCAGAATGCTCCTTGATTGTCGGTGAACTATAAATCCCAGTAACTACAACTCCCAAATGTCAAGGTCTATTTCTCCCAAACTCCATCTGTGTTCATATTTGGGCATATGGAATATTTGTGCTGAGTTTGGTCCAGATCCATCATTGTGTGAGTCCACAGTGCTCTCTGGATGTAGGAGAACTACAACTCCCAAACTCAAGGTCAATGCCCACCAAACCCTTCTAGTATTTTCTGTTGGTTTTGAGAGTCCTGTATGCCACGTTTGGTTCAATTCCATCATTGGTGGAGTTCAGAATGCTCTTGGATTGTAGGTGAACTATAAATCCCAAGAACTACAACTCCCAAATGACAAAATAAAACAAATGAGTGAAGGACATACATTGGGTTGTTAGGTGTATGCTGTCCAAATTTGCGGTCAATTTGCCCACTGGTTTTTGAGTTCTGTTTATCCCACAAACGAACATTACATTGTTATTTATATAGATTGTTCCAACGTTTCAGATGCTTGTTTTAGAATATTTGTAAACCACACACAGAGACCTTTTAAAAAAGAAAATTACTGCAGAGTTGTTCTTAAATAAATGCGTAAATGTGATTTTAGCTTGTGTTTCTGCCTTTTCAGAGACTGCTTGGCAAAGCTTGAAAACCCATCAAAAGCTAGCAAGATCAACACAAAAGTTCCCGCTGTATAATCCAGACCGCAGTCAAAGGAGACACCCTCACCCTATTCCATCCCCTCTTCCAGGGGGTCACTATGGAGCAGATCAGCAACTTTTTCAGCTCCATCTGGACCTTCATCCTCACCAAGCATCAGCAGGGCATCTACAACACAATCTGCTTGGGGGTGGTCCTTGGGCTACCTGCCCTCGTCCTCCTCCTTGGCATATTTATCTGTTGCCACTGTTGTTTCTGTGACCGGCGGCAGAAGAACAGTGCCAGCTTCGTCAGGAGAAGCCCCTCTCAGGGGACGAAAAGAAAAAAGATGATGCGGAAGAAGAAGGAAGAGGATCTCTGGATCTCTGCCCAGCCCAAGATGATGCTGATGGAAAAAAGGCCCTCTTTGCTGGCCTAGAGAAAGACCCATTCCCCCATTCCTACCAGGGTTACAGCAGCACTTCTGGCTGAAGGCATACCACGCTGGTTCTGTCCCTCTGGAGGGAGTTGACACTTCTTTTTTAAAGGCTTCTGAAATTAAATGCTTACAGGACGTCCTTGGGGTGCTTTGAGGAGTCCCAAGCTGGTCTCAGTCCAAAAGCTCTGCTGCTCCACCAAGACAGACTGAGCTACTCCCATGCCAGCCTACGTGGCTAGACCAACGAACACACAAAGAGGACCTGTGCAGAGTTGCTAGCACCCTTTGCTGTTGCAAACAGACATCTGTAGCTTCCAGCTTAAGGAAGCGCATGCACTAACACCATTATGCGCACATTATGCAACACTGCCGTATAGACTTGCAAACATTTCATTGACCTGAGCACACACATATAAAATCATTCTGCTTCCAGATGGAGCTGCTTCAGATACTTTTATATGGAAAGTGGTTTAAGTGACTTTAAAAGGAGTTTAGAGCAAATCGCGGAAGTCTTAATGATTAAATGGAGTCTCCGCTTCAGAGGGAGCAGGACTCGAAATGTAGGAGCCATGCACAGGTATCCTCATGCCCATTGTACATCTCTGGACACTTTATACAGTTGTCTAGAGATGAAGAATTTTCAAAAACATTGAAGTCATGGGGGGAAATCATTTTTAAAAAGAAGTATTTTTTAAAAAAATAAAATATTTTCAGGAAAGGTTAAAAAAATTCAATATTTGCACCTTTTATAAAGTCACTTTGTTACAATAGAAACATGCACTATATGTATATAGGGTTGGGATAAAGCTTTTATTTTTTATATATGAAAAGTAAAGTCTATTCAGAATATAATTAAGATTGATTTTTAATTAACTTTTTTTTAAAAAAATGTTACATATAGAGTTGCATTCTGAACAAAAAATTCTTTTTGGTTTTGCTAATTAGAGGACGAGGCAAAAAAACAACAACAATAAAAACAAGGGGGAAAACATCAATAGTAGTAAAACAGTGAAAAACAGAGATTGTTTTCTCTCCACTAGTTCTCCATAGGGTCAAGCAGAGATAACACACTCATTTGCATTAAAAGAAAAAAGGGAAGTAAGTTTTTATAATGCTAACACTTAACATAATGTTACACAGTTTATAATATTCACATGTGTATAAGAATACAGTTTGTAGAAATGATTTTGGGACATCTCTAACTGCATCTACCCGAGCGTTCTCGAAAAGAGAGATTTTTGCTAAATAGACCATTGAACTGGTCTGGCAAGGGAACTTAAACGACAATGTCCCTTTAAGTAGTAAATCTTGAAGCCAGATATCACAAATCTACCACAAGATCTTCTCATCGGAGCTTTGTATCACGCTGCAGAATTCAGGTCTAATAAGATTCATATATGCCAAGATTAGACTTTATCAGGCTCTGGAGTTTGTGAGTAATGCATGACCAAATATTGAGGGAAGTAAGAAAGGGAGAAGGATTACGACACACACACACACACAATGATCAATAGTAGAATAAGCTGAGCAAAATGAGCACGTGCACACAATTTATTATTCCCTGCCATGTCTGTTCTGTCACAGCCACATGTGAACAATTATCACAAACTTCAAGGGGAGAGTAACATCTTCCTCATTGAAATCAAGGGCACTTGTAATCTTTTAGTTTGTCAATACTGTTGTTGTTTTGGGGGGAGAGATTTTAATTCTGCTTCTAGAATCCAAGGACATGTTAATGCATCTGTTTTTGCCTTTGCTTTGTTTACACTCAAGCTTCTGTATTTAGTTGCTAGAACTACCCCTACCCCTATTTTTGGTATGTAATCTGCTTATGTCTGTATATAGATCCTGGAGTACAGTCCTAAGGACTTGAATAACCCTTTCTACATAATATTTATTTATCGTGTCATCCGCAACCAGAACATTGTATTACATTTCTAACAGAACAAAACAAACAAACAGATAGAAAAAAACACACACACAAATTTTGCAAGCTTGGTAGCTGATTAAATGTCCTTTGACCAGTATCTGGCCACTTGGAGTGCCTCTGGTGTTGCCGCAAGAAGGTCCTCCATCGTGCATGTGGCAGGGCTCAGGTTGCATTGCAGCAGGTGGTCAGTCCACATAATGAATAAATATATATAAAGTGTTTCTGGGAGGTGCAAGTTGGTGATGCCCATTACAGTGCTGCCCCACACATCAGTGGGAACTCATGCAATTGACCATCTTTAAAGGTAAAGGTTTTCCCCTGACATTAAGTCCAGTTGTGTCCAACTCTAGGGGTTGGTGCTCATCTCCATTTCTAAGCCAAAGAGCCGGCATTGTCCGTAGACACCTCCAAGGTCATTTGGCCGGCATGACTACATGGAGCGCTGTTACCTTCCCACTGGAGCAGTACCTATTGATCTACTCACATTTGCATGTTTTTGAACTGCTAGGTTGGGAGAAGCTGGGGCTGATGACGGAAGCTCACGCTGCTCCCAGATTCGAACCTATTACTTTTCAGTCAACAAGCTCAGCAGCTCAGCAGTTTAATCCACTGCGCCACTGGGGGATCCTTGACCATCTTTACTTGTCCCAAACATGCCCACTTGGAAGAAAACTTGATCAGATTCAAAGTAACTTAGGCAAATCTCTGTAAGAGTGCAGTCATTTACTTTTTGGATAGTTCAATCAATCGAATAGTACTAGCCCAAGGTCATGACAAAAAAGGTACAGACGCAGGGTGCACAGAATAGTACCCTCAAAGCAAACAGGAAGCAAAAGATAGCAAACATAGACGAGCTTCATACTCACAAAGAGCAAAAAATAATGTGAATTATTGATAGTTACTGAGGGAATTAGCCCCTTGAGTCTCCGTAGCAGTTGCTGGCAATTTTATCTAGCATCCTGATGTATGTAGATGATCTAGAGCTCATCTCCCTCTCTCGGTTGGGTCTTTAAAATCTTCTGAAGGCTTTCAGTATCTACTGCTAAAGGTAATACCTGTCAACAAATTACTCCAAGACCAAGGTTATGGTTCTTGGAAGACGCTGCCCCAGGTATAAATGGTCTTTAGACCAACATGCTAAACAAAACCCATCTATTCGTTTACCTTTTGGATAGTAAATACATGGAAAATGGGGGTAGGAATGTCCTCTTCCTGCTCAATTAGATTTGAGTTAAGGCAATGAGCCCCTGGTAGCTCAACCCTTGAGCTGCTGAATTTATTGACCAAAAGGTTGCAGGCTCAAATCTGGGAGTGGGGTGAGCTCCCACTGTCAGTCCCAGCTTCTGCCAACCTAGCAGTTCGAAAACATGCAAATGTGAGTAGATCAATAGATACCGCTCCGACGGGAAGGTAACCGCTCCATGCAGTCATGCCGGCCACATGACCTTGGAGGTGTCTACGAACAATGCCAGCTCTTTGGCTTAGAAATGGAGATAAGTGCTAACCCCCAGAGTCGGACACGACTGGACTTAATGTCAGGGGGAAACCTTTACCTTTTTTAAGGCAATGAACTGTCCTTGCAGTTTTCTTCTTCATTTACCCTGCTTTTCTCACTTTTAAAAGCTAAAAATCCATTCCATCTTCAGCCCAACATTTCTTCTTTTTTGTCATCCTGGAACCAGTTTTCCTCCCAGGCCCCAACCAGGATAGTATAGCTTGCCTTTACAGCTATTCCATTTCTTGGCAATACTTGGCTCTGTAATCCTTTCAGAGCTTTGCAACATTAGTTCAAAAGTACCGCGGTGTTACTTTGTGAAACATTACTTTTGGAGGTCATAAAGGGCATTATTTTTTCCCCATGTGGAAAGTGTGCAACGATTTGGGGAGTGTTTAGAGGAACTCCCCATCTCACTCAGATAATTTTTCAAACTCTTGAAGGAGATTTAAGAAGATTCCATCTAACATTAGGAAGAACTTCCTGACTGTGAGAGCTGTTCAGCAGTGGAACTCTCTGCCCCAGAGTTTGGTAGAGGGTCCTTCTTTGGAAGCTTTAAACAGAGGCTGAATGGCCATCTGTCGGGGGTGCTTTGAATGCAATATTCCTGCTTCTTGGCAGGGGGTTGGACTGGATGGCCCATGAGGTCTCTTCCAACTCTATGATTCTATGACTCCATGACTTACGCCGGTCTTTCAGGATATATTTGGGGGAGGGGATGGTCTTTTCATCCTGCTTGATTCTACTTTGCAGAAACAGCTGGCAATACACTTCCAGTAGTAGTCACAGAAGGCCATGAGTAAAGCTATGAATGTTTTCCACTTTCTCTTAACCACTTCCTTAAAAAAAACTGTGCAGTGCTATAGGAACAAAAAAAAAATAATGTTTCTCCATTGGGACACAAGGCTTTGCACAAGATTCACCCCTGTCCGATGTAGGGGAACATCGGACAGATTGGGAGGAGTCATCCCTTGGCTGTGTGATATGTCAAATGCCCAGTTTTATTTGATACTAGCCATCTCCTGCCACACGTTGCTGTGATCCATATGGGGGTTCTGTATGGGAGGTTTGGCCCAGTTCTATCGTTGGTAAGGTTCAGAATGCTCTGTGATTGTAGGTGAACTATAAATCCCACCAACTACAACTCCCAAATGTCAAGATTCTATTTTCCCCAAACTCCACCAGTGTTCACATTTGGGCATATTGAGTATTCGTGTAGAGTTTGGTCCAGATCCATCATTGTTTGAGTCCACAGTGATCTCTGGATGTAGGTGAACTACAAAACCAAAGGACACTGCCCACCAAACTCTTCCCGTATTTTCTGTTGGTCATGGGAGAACTGTGTGCCAAGTTTGGTTCAATTCCATCGTTGATGGGGTTCAGAATGCTCTGTGATTGTAGGTGAACTATAAATCCCAGAAACTACAACTCCCAAATGGCAAAATCAATTTTTTGAGTGAAGGACATACATTGGGTTGTTAGGCGTCTTGTGTCCAAATTTGGTGTCAATTTGTCCAGTGGTTTTTGAGTTCTGTTCATCCCACAAATGAACATTTCATTTTTATTTATATAGATGGAAAGAAGTGTGTGTGTAATGGGGTGAATGGGTATCCAGTCCTTACTTCGCAATCTTAAACAGGTTTTTTGTTTAAATATGCATCTTCTGAAGTGTATGTGATAAGGTCCCCAGTGTTGAAACTGTGCATCCTTATCTAGGAGTCAACCCTATTGATTATACTGGAGCTTGCTTCAGAAGGGTGGCTTGAGAAACCCATTTCTGCACCATGTGCCGGACCCTGGAAGAAACTCCAATTTCAAATCACATCACCATGTCCGATCAGATGTTGATTAACTTCCTAGATTATAACCAGCAAGACTATTGCTTGTATATTTTTTACACATCCATAAGATGCACACCTGCTCATATTTGCTGGTGGTGTGAGTAGCAGCCTTCATGTCATCGCTATCAGTCCTCTACTGTTTTGTATCGATCTGTATTGTGAGAATGCCCTTTTATTGCACAGGTTACCAAAATGAAATCTGACCTACTTCTATTTAAAAATAAATTTATTTTAATGAAATATACCTACCTGAATTTTTATTTTGTCTCTCTAGTGTATCTGTTTTACTGGAAATAAAAGGTGTTTGCTCAGAAAAGAAATGAATTGTAGATTGTGCTTCAATCATGTCATTTTATTTATCGTGTCAGGAGCAACCAGACAATTGTATTACATTTTTAACAAAACAAACAGACAGACAAAACACAAAGTTTGCAAGCTTGGTAGTTGATTAAATGTCCTTTGGCCAGTATCTGGCACTTGGAGTGCCTCTGGTGTTGCCGCAAGAAGGTCCTCCATTGTGCATGTAGCAAGGCACAGGTTGCATTGCAGCAGGTGGTCAGCGGTTTGCTCTTCTCCGCACTTGCATGTCGTGGATTCCACTTTGTAGCCCCATTTCTTAAGGTTGGCTCTGCATCTCGTGGTGCCAGAGCGCAGTCTGTTCAGCGCCTTCCAAGTGCCCAGTCTTCTGTGTGCCCAGGGGGGAGTCTCTCATCTGGTATCAGCCAATGATTGAGGTTCTGGGTTTGAGCCTGCCACTTTTGGACTCTCGCTTGCTGAGGTGTTCCAGCGAGTGTCTCTGTAGATCTTAGAAAACTATTTCTTGATTTCAGTTGTTGACGTGCTGGCTGATACCCAAACAGGGGATGAGCTGGAGATGTCTCTGCCTTGGTCCTTTCACTATTGGCTGCTACTTCCCGGCAGATGTCAGGTGGTGCAATACCGGCTAAACAGTGTAATTTCTCCAGTGGTGTAGGGCGCAGACACCCGTGATGATGCTGCATGTCTCATTAAGAGCCACATCCACTGTTTTAGCGTGGTGAGATGTGTTCCACACCAGGCATGCATACTCAGCAGCAGAGTAGCATAGCGCAAGGGCAGATGTCTTCACTGTGTCTGGTTGTGATCCCCAGGTTGTGCCAGACAGCTTTCGTATGATATTGTTTCTAGCACCCACTTTTTGCTTGATATTCAGGTAGTGCTTCTTGTAGGTCCAGGGTGACTCCCAGGGATTTGGGTGTGCTGCAATGCTCCAGTGGGATTCCTTTCCAGGTAATCCTCAGAGCTCGGGATGCTTGTCTGTTCTTAAGGTGAAAAGCACATGTCTGTGTTTTAGATGGATTAGGGATCAGCTGACTTTCCCTGCAGTAGGTGGTAAGGGCACCTAAAGCTTCAGAGAGCTTCTGTTCTACCATCTCAAAGCTCCCTGCTTGAGTGGTAATGGCACAATCATCTGCATAGATGAAGCTCTCTGTCCCTTCTGGCAGTGGCTGGTCATTTGTGTAAATGTTGAACATGGATGGAGCAATCATGTGACAAGCATGAAAGAAACTTTCAACCAATCCTGGCCCACACAGTGTGGTTGATGCCCCCTCACCCCCAAATCAATCCGAGGGCCTTTTCCTAAGCAATTTGTATTCTTCTCTCAAGAAATGCAACATGTTCAAGAACTTAAATGCATTTAATGACATGCATGCACTTTTAACACATTACATCGAAATCTTTGAACATAACAATCCTTTACATGTCTGCACAGAACAAAGTCTCACTGAGTTCAGTGGGACTCCCAAACAGGAGAACATTACACAATTTATTTGGTGAATAAATTATGACTTTACCATATTTTGAAGTATTATAAAATCTGGGTTGCTTTGAGTTTTCTGGGCTGTATGGCCAAGTTCCAGAAGCATTGTCTCCTGACGTTTTGCCCACATCTATGGCAGGCAGCCTCAGAGGTTGTGAGGTCAGTTGGAAACTAGGCAACTTAGGTAATGTCCAGGAGGGAGAAAGAACTCTTGTCTGTTTGAGGCAAGTGTGAATGTTGCAATTGCCACCTTGATTAGCATTTAATGACCTTGCAGCTTCAAAGCCTGGCTGCTTCCTGGGTGGGAAATCCTTTGTTGGGGGTGTTAACTAGCCCTGATGGTTTCATGCTTGGAATTCCCTTGTTTTCTGAGTAATGTTCTTTTTTTACTGTCCTGATTTTAGATTTTTTTAAAAAAAAAAATACTAGTAGCCAGATTTTGTTCATTTTCATGGTTTCCTCCTTTCTGTTGAAAACAAGGTGGTCAATTGCAACATTCACACTTGCCTCAAACAGACAAGAGTTCTTTCTCCCACCCTGGACATTATTCCACAGATATATGAACCCCACTTGCCAAGTTTACAACAGAACTCACAACCTCTGAGGATTTTTTTTTTTTGTCGTGTCAGGAGTGACTCCTGGTGTGAGAGAATTGGCCGTCTGCAAGGACGTTGCCCAGGGGACGCCTGGATGATTTGATGTTTTTATCATCCTTGTGGGAGGCTTCTCTCATGTCCCCGCATGAGGAGCTGGAGCTGATAGAGGGAGCTCATCCGCCTCTCCCCGGATTCGAACCTGCGACCTGTCAGTCTTCAGTCCTGCCGGCACAGGGGTTTAACCCACTGCGCCACCGGGGGCTCCTCACCTCTGAGGATGCTAGCCATAGATGTGGGTGAAATGTCAGGAGAGAATGCTTCCGGAACATAGCCAGACAGCCCCGAAAACTCACAGCAACCCAGTGATTCCAGCCATGAAAGCCTTCGACAACATATTATAAAAACTACAGTGAGCACCAAAATAGAGAACTGTATACAAATACATAACTATATAACTAATGATCTAGGTCAAGAATATATTCTAATCTGAGCAGTTTGCAAATCGAAAATTCTGTTAGGTAGTAACTGTTGAACCTAGCCGTCGCAGAAGCTAAAACTTTGTTTATACAAAACTACCATATTCCTTACTTTGTAAAGAAACTGATGCTTGAAAATCCACTCAAAATTTGATGAAAGATATATTTATTATACTTAATTAATACTTGCAAAGGAATCTTGTAGCACCTTAGAGACTGAACAAGAACAAAGTTCTTAAGATTTGAGGACTTAGACTCAGGCTGGATCTAAACAGCCCTATGTCCTAGGATCTGATCCCAGATTATCTGGCAGTGTAGACTCATATAATCCAGTTCAAAGCAGATAATCTGGGATCAGACCCTGGATACAGGGCAAGGGCATTGGCAGTACACCGATCTTGGAAGCATATTTTCAATTTTAATCTATTACATTCGGCCCGGCCATTTTAAAATTGTTTATATGTCACCATTGATTGTTTTTGTTTATGTGATTTATATGATTTGTATTTTATTGATTGTTCATTGATGTTGTATTTATTGATGTTTGTTTGATGAACCTTGGGCTTGGCCTCCAGTAAGCCGCACCGAGTCCCTTGGGGAGATGGTAGCGGAGTACAAATGAAGTTTATTATTTATTATTATTACTCGAACAAGGAGGCATCGCTTAAGTACGTACAGGGCAGTATAGATCCAGCCTTCGTTTACAAAAGCTTATGCTACCAACTTTGGTACTAAAAGATCCTTTTGCACACCAGACTTAACAGAGCCTTGCCTTTTAATAAGCACTTGTATAACATTTAGCATATAAAGTAGGGTTTTTAAAGCATGGAGGAAAGAGTATATATATTCATTCTCACAAAAAAGTCAACTTTATAATGGATCGCTTTTTTATGCCATCCTAAAACTATAGATTATCCAAAATTTCCATAACAACCCAGAAAAACAAACACGAAATGTCTTAAGAGACATTCTGAATTAAGCAGGGACATTTATGTATGTGTATAAAAAGATACATTCCTTTAATTTCAATGGAAATAGGGCCAAAATTTTATAACAAGTGTGAAGTCTCAGACGGAAAGGCAAGGAATGGGCCAATCTCAAAACTAGGAAATTAGGTTCTTGTGGGTTTTTTCGGGCTATAGGGCCATGTTCTAGAGGCATTTCTCCTGACATTTCGCCTGCATCTATGGCAAGCATCTTCAGAGGTAGTGAGGTCTGTTGGAATTAGGACAATGGGTTTATATATCTGTGGAATGGCTGGGGTGGGGCAAAGAGCTCTTCCCTGCTGGAGCTAGGTGTGAATGTTTCAACTGACCACCTTCATTAGCATTTGAAGGCCTGGCTGAGCCTGGGAAAATCTTTTGTTGAGAGGTGTTAAGATGTGCCTGGTTGTTTCCTCTCTGCTGTTTTGCTGTTGTAATTTTAGAGTTTTTTAATACTGGTAGCCAGATTTTGTTCATTTTCATGGTCTCTTCCTTTCTGTTGAAATTGTGCACATGCTTGTGGATTTCAATGGCTTCTCTGTGTAGTCTGACATGGTGGTTGTTGGTGTGGTCCAGCATTTCTGTGTTCTCAAATAATATGCTGTGTCCAGGCTGGTTCATCAGGTGCCTGCTATGGCTGACTTCTCTGGTTGAAGTAGTCTGCAGTGCCTTTCATGTTCCTTGATTCGTGTTTGGGCAATGCTGCGTTTGGTGGTCCCTATGTAGACTTGTCCACAGCTGCATGTTATATGGTAGACTCCAGTTGAAACATTCACACCTAGCTCCAGCAGAGAAGAGTTCTTTGCCCCACCCCAGCCATTCCACAGATATATAAACCCATTGTCCTAATTCCAACAGACCTCACTACCTCTGAGGATGCTTGCCATAGATGCAGGCGAAACGTCAGGAGAAATGCCTCTAGAACATGGCCCTATAGCCCGAAAAAACCCACAAGAACCTAGTGATTCCAGCCATAAAAGCCTTCGACAACTAGGAAATTATTTTTTTTTACTGCAGCTCCCACAATCTCCCAGCCAGCAAAACTAGTAGTATTGCCGAAGGCTTTCATGGCCGGAATTACTGGGTTGTAGGTTTTTTCGGGCTATATGGCCATGGTCTAGAGGCATTCTCTCCCAACGTTTCGCCTGCATCTATGGCAAGCATCCTCAGAGGTAGTGAGGATGCTTGCCATAGATGCTGGCTAGTAGTCATGCAAGCTGGAGAAATAGTGAGGGAATCCGAAGCAATATTATTTCCAAGCTCTTCCGCAAATGCAAAATGTTACCAGTGTTGTGATGGGTTTCTGACTACAACTTCCAGAATTCCTCAACGAGCTAGTTCACACTGTCTAAGAGATTCTGGAACGTGCCATCTAAAAAGTAACTTTCCCAGGTTCTATCAGTGGTCCCCGTATAAAAAATGTAACATAGAGACTAGCCCTTAGCTCTCATCTATTTTTCGAGCTCACTCACAGTATAGCACATGTTTATATGATGTTCTTAACCAGTTATACCAGATAATGTTTCTGAGCCACTAAACCAGTTAATGTGATTATAAATGTATTAACATAAGCCACCCACGGGCAGACACACTGTTATGTGATTATGCATTTTTTTTGTGTTTGGGTTGGCAAGAAGTCATTTCAAACTCCAACCTCCTTCCTCTTCGCCACCAGGGATCTCTTTTTCCTGCCAAGGACTGGCTCCAAGCTATGTCGCCGTGGACGGATCTTCATTTCAGTGAAAGGAATGGAGTATAAATGCCCTTTCCATGGTTCCCAGTTCACTCCCTGGAAAACAAAAAATGTGTTTGACATGGGTAATATTATAAGCCCAGCTTCTCCAATCTACAGAGAGACACTCTAATGCCTTGTCATGCTGATACTAAAACTAATCTGAAGAAATCTTGGATCACGTTTGCTGCCAAAATCGTTGATAAATTGCCAGCCTCTAAACAGCAACCATCATCATCACAACATATTCTGTAGCATTTTCTTAAACTTTTTTCCACTTGTGATCCCTTTCTACTCAAACTTTTGTGACCTATTTCCTCCTGAGAAAGGGTATATCTATATATATATAAATGCTCATGTCGTAATGAGTGGCTTAAAAACAAAAGAACCGCTGGACCAATACCGACCAAATTTGGCAACAAAACTCCTCACCATACAAGGTGTGACCATCAATAATAAAAAACAAAAAAGGAACTTACAAATCCCAAAAAAGGAGAAGATACCACTGGGCATGCGTACTGGGACGGGGGATGGGTGGGATGCGCGCGTGCTCGCACACACAGGAGAGCTCCACGTGGCGGAGCCTGTGCTGACAACGACCTGGAGTCAGCCTTGGCTCTCTCCCTCCTCCTTCTCTCCCTTCCTTCTCTCTTCCCCCATGTTCTCCCTTCATGCCTTCCCTGCCTCCTCTCCTCCCTCCCTCTTTCCCTCATCCTTCCCCACTTTCCTTCTCTTTTTCCTTTCCTCCCTCCCTTCTATCATTCCTCCTTCCCTTCTTCCTTCGTCTTCAGCTCTCCCCTTGGGTGCCGCCATCAAGGGGCTCCAGTAAGCCCCACCCCTAATAGAGCAGAGTGTGCTGGGGATGAAGGAAGGAAGGAAGGAAGGAAGGAAGGAAGGAAGGAAGGAAGGAAGGAAGGAAGGAAGGAAGGAAGGAAGGAAGGGGTGAGCCCAGTTCAATTCCAGGTGAGCTGGACATCCAAGCAGCTCCCAAGGTCAAATTTCCCCCAATTTCCACCAGAATTCACCTTTGGGCATATTGAGGATTCCTCCCAAGTTTGGTCCCGATCCATCTTTGTTTGGGTTCACAGTGCTCTCCGGATGAACAATTTCTCCTCCTCCTCCTCCTCCTCCTCCTCCTCTCATCCACACCAACGCCCCCTTCCCTCCCTCCACCCTTTCCTTCCTTTCTGTACTTCCCTTCCTTCTCCTTCCTTTAATTCTTTCCCTTCCCTCCCTTCCCTCCTTCCTCCCTCCCTTTCCTTTTCTCCATTACTCCTTCCTCCCTTTCTCCCTTCCCTTCCTCCTTTTCTTTCCTTCCCTTTTCTCCCCCACCCCCCTCACCAGCTTCATCCTTCTTTATTAAATCTACAGCTTAGATGCACTCAAAGTCACCCCTTCCACACTGCCATGTAAAATCCAGATTATCTACTTAGGACTGGGTTCTATGGCAGTGTAGACACACACACACACAGATATGGATGGATACAGGATCACTGGTTGGTGGTATATACCTATATTCTGTCTGTCTATCTCTCTATCTCTATGTGTATACATATATACATATATATAATTACAATACTATATATATTACTATTATATATACTGCTATATAATACATAAATATTATATTATATCTATATATATTACTGTTATATCTATTACTATATAATATGTTATTACTATATGTTACTATATTAAATAGACTCCTAGAATACAGTTAGAAGGGACTCTACCAGACAGAAGAGAAGTAGGGAGGGAAGGAGGGAAGGAAGGAGAGAAGGAAGGAAAGAAAGAGGTACCGAAGGAAGGAAGGAAGAAGATAAAGTAGAAATGAAAGGAAAGGCAGGAAATAGTCCAGATATTCATAATAGTCCAGATATCTACCTCTACTTCGAAAATTCTTACTATAGGCCACAGCAACACGTGGCAGGGTATAGCTAGTGGGTATATAAAAAAAGTATCAAAATCAAATATTTACTAATAATAAACGAGCATTTGCAAGACTTGCTAAACAGGGTGATTTTCCTTTTTATGAAGTACAGCTCAAGCATTTTCTGCAGAGTTCACTGTAAACACTTCACATTGTTGCTAATGGATGTCTAGATATTTATTTATCATGTCAAAAATGAATTGAGGGTATAGTTATAATGTATTTAAAAACACAAACTGTGCTGGTACAGCTGTACCAGAAGCCTAAATTTCCTTTCTATGCATGTGTTTGTTTTGGCCATGCATTTTGCAGTTGGGTGGTTCCTTCCAGGCTGCAGCCATAGGGCCAGCCACCTGCCTATCATTGTTAAGTTCTTTAGTTCCGCCCCTTTCCCCAGGGTTCTGGGAGGGAAAAGAAAGTTTTTAGTTCAGTCTTACAGTTTAGAAGCTCAGTAACAGGACGTGAGAGCTTTTCCCACCTGTAGAGAAGCTCCGTTTCTTACAAAGCTCCGGGGGGAAATAGTCCCAAAGCTTCTGGGGAAGACAATTCTCAAAGCTCTGCCTGGGGAACTTACAGCCTCACAACTCTACAAGCCTCTGGGGAAGACAGCCCTAAAGCTTCTGAAGAAAACAGTTTTACATATCCAAAGGTCTCCAGTTGGAAAATCTACAAAGACTTTGCCTGATAAGGTCTACTCGGGTCACCCATAACGCAGATTGGAACCGGGAGGAGGGCCCACGCCAGCAAAGTAAAGAGATTGCCCAGGAAGGGGTCGGAGGGTTTTCCTTGTAAAAGAAAGAAATACTTCACGAAGCAAGCTGCCTGTCCTTTGTGGACAAGTTAAGAAGAATTTGTGTGTTTTGTTGAAGATCTAAGCAATAATAAAGAACTTTGTTAAACTTTCCAAGTTTCTAAAGACTTTGTTTAGGAAAATCCATAGGGCCTCTCAGCCGAGGCACCCCGGCGTCCTGCTGGGCACAAAGAGCACGTCCTGTTTTAAAAGACAATTGCTATAGGCCCAGCGCATGTCAGCACACAAACAAAGTTAAAAACTTGGCATTATCCTAAATGTCCTTTGACCATAAGCTGGCCACTTGGAGCGCCTCTGGTGTCACTATAAGAAGGTCCTCCATGGTGCATCTGGCAGGGTTCAGTCTGCATTGTAGTAAGTAATCTGTGGTTTACTCTTCTCCACACTTGCATGTCATGGATTCCACTTTGTGGCCCCATTTCTTAAGGTTGGCTCTGCACCTCGTGGTGCCAGAGCACAGTCTATTCAGCACCTTCCAAGTCACTCAGTCTTCTGTGTGCCCAGGAGGGAGCCGTGGATTGAGGTTCTGGGTTTTGGCCTACCACTTTTGGACTCTAGCTTGCAGTGGTGTTCCTGAGAGTGTCTCTGTAGATCTAAGGAAGCTATTTCTTGATTTAAGGTGTTGGCTTGTTGGCTGATACCTGAACAGAGGATGGGCCGGAGATGTCACTGCCTTGGTTCCTTTCATTACAGGCTGCTACTTCCCCATGGATGTCAGGTGGTGCAATGGCAGCGAAGCTGTATAATTTCTCCAGTGGTGTGAAGCATAGACATCCTGTGATAATGAGGAATGTCTCATTAAGAGCCACATCCACTGTTTTAGCATGGTGTTATGCAGGGGTCCTCAAACTTTTTAAACGGGGGGCCGGATTACTGTCCCCCAGACCGTTGGAGGGCCGGACTATATATTTTTTTTAAAAAACGATGACCAAATTCCTATGCACACTGCACATGTCCTATTTTGCTACTGTTATGAATTGTAATGTAAATATCTGATATGCATGATGTATTTTTATTGTTACAATCTGAACATAAAGCATCGTTTTAGCATTTCTGGAGATAAAATAGTTCCAATTAAAATGAGGAAAGCATTCTATTTTCTGTCTTTTTGAAAGTGGTTTTTAGAATATGTAAGCATGAGTCCCCTTTCGGGGTGGGGGGGAGAAGGGCAGGGTATAAATATAGGAAATAAATCTGTATAAATAAAAATGTAATGTTCGTTTGTGGGATTAACAGAACTCAAAAACCACTGGACACCTAACAACTCAATGTACGTCCTTCACTCAAAAAAAATTGATTTTGTCATTTGGGAGTTGTAGTTGCTGGGATTTATAGTTTACCTATAATCAAAGAACATTCTGAACCCCATCAATGATGGAATTGAACCAAACTTGACATAGAGTTCTCCCATTACCAACAGAAAATACTGGAAGGGTTTGGTGGGCAGTGTCCTTTGGTTTTAGAGTTGTAGTTCACCTACACCCAGAGATCACTGTGGACTCAAACAGTGATGGATCTGGAACAAACTTGGCACTGATACTCAATATGCCCAAATGTGAACACTGGTGGCGTTTGGGGGTGCTATTTGCTGGGATTTATAGTTCACCTGTAATCAAAGAGCATTCTGAACTCCACCAATGATGGAATTGAACCAGTCTTGGTACACAGAACTCCCATGAACAACAGAAAATACTGGAAGGGTTTGGTGGGCATTGACCTTGAGTTTTGGAGTTGTAGTTCACCTGCCTCCATAAATCACTGTGGATTCAATGGTAGATCTGGACCAAACTTGGCACGAATATTCCATATGCTCAAATGTGAACACTGGTGGAGTATGGGGGAAATAGAATCTTGACATTTGTGAGTTGTAGTTGCTGGGATTTGTAGTTCACCTACAATCACAGAGCATTCTGAACCCCATCAACAATAGAATTGGGCCAAACCTTTCCAGAGAAGCGCTGCGGGGACTCCAGCAGCCGCTGCTGGTCCAGATAAGCGCTGGAGGGAGAAGCCTGTGGAGGGAGAAGCGCTCTCTGCTCTCCCACAGAGAACAGAGAGAAAAGCAGAGCGGATGCCATTCCTCTGTAACAGAAAATCCCTGGTGGCGAGGAAGGCGTCCGCAAATGGTGGAGGCGGTGGCAGGTGTGCGTGGCCAAGCGATGCTGGCTTCTCTGGCCCGGAAGCCTGGCCACGCCCACCCGGCACCGCCTCCACCATTTGCGGACGCCTTCCTCGTCACCAGGGATTTTCTGTTACAGAGGAATGGCGTCCGCTCTGCTTCGCTCTCTGTTCTCCGCAGGAGAGCAGAGCGCGCTTTTCCCTCCACAGGCTTCTCCCCCGTGTGGAGGGAGAAGCCTGTGGAGGGAGAAGCACAGCAGAGCAGATGCCATTGGCGGCGGCGAGGGGCTTTGGACAGGCCGCGCGGCGAGGGGCTTTGGACAGGCTGCGCGGGCCGGATAAAGCCCCTTGGCGGGCCGCATGCGGCCCACGGGCCGTTGTTTGGGAACCCCTGGTGTTATGTGTACCATGCTGGGAATGAGTATTCCGCAACAGAGTAGCAAAGTGCAATGGCAGATGTCTTCACTGTGTCTGTTTGTGATCCCCAGGTTGTGCCAGTCAGCTTTCGTATTATATTATTTCTAGCACCCACTTTCTGCTTGATGGTTAAGCAGTGCTTCTTGTCTAGGTGGCAATAAGAAAACTTTTATTATTGCCAAGTTTTTCATAACCCCAACATTAAACTAAGGGGACCCCATTAGTTTAAGAAGCAGTGCTCTGTGGAACTGCAGAGGGATGAAGGCAGTTGCACGCATGATTTTCCTACAAGATCAGCACGTCTCATTCCCGTTTGTATGTTTGGAGCCTTATTTTAAAAGATTCCTTTTTTTCTGGGCGTGGCTCCAACCTTTGCAAACTCAGTCCCCAAATGTCCCAATGTTCTTACACCAACCAATGAAGTTTGAGGTGTTAGTCTACAATACTGAAGGTCACGGCACTGACAGGGTTCATGCTTTTGCTACAACATGTATTCCGAATATGCTTGTGCCACCCAAGAGTCTAGAGCTGTTCCAGGGTGCTCCAAGCCCCAGCTTCCATCCCAGGAGGAATAGTTTACTTTTGCTAGGACAGTCCTTGTGAGCTTAATGTCTTCAGGACATCCAAGGGACTAGGATGGGTGTCAGGTGCCACCCAGTGGATGATAGTTGCAACAACATCACAACTTCATGTGATAGTGAAAGATAAAAACTTTTTGTACTACTTGGGAAGAGAAAGTAATTCAAATTTTTCGAAACTGCCAGATGCAATATAACCACGAATCCAAAAGAACATATCCAAATAACAGAAGCAGCTGCCTATGCTTACTATGAAGTGCTCTCAGTCTCACTGCAATCTCATTGTGTTGGGGACGAGAGACAGGGCCTTCTCCACAGTGGCCCCTTGGCTGTGGAACTCCCTCCCTAATGAGATCAGATCTGCCCCCTCCCTCCTGACCTTCTGGAAGAAACTTAAATCCTGGCTATGGGATCAAGCATTTGCAGAATAGACTGATTTACTGGTCAAGATAAGACTATTTGACCAAAATCGACTGATTTGGATGTCAATTTTAACCTGGTTAACTGTTTTTAATGTATATTTATAACTGTTTTAATGTATATTGCTGTATTTTATGATATGTTTTATATTGTGTCGGCACTGAATGGTTGCCTGTTGGAAGCTGTCCTGAGTCCCTCTTCGGAGGTTGAGAAGGATGGGGTATAAAAGTTTTAAATAAATAAATAGTGGATCCCCATAGTCAAATAGAGACTCGAACCCTAGTCTCCACAACCACTACACATTGGCTCACATCTCCTGGACACGTGGGTTTTTTTGGTTTTTTTGCCTCATTAGGCTATACAAAATAGACATGCCAAAACTGGAGAGGGCTCAGTCGGTGTTGGTTGTTACACAACCAGGTAATAAACAACACCTGCTGAAAGAAATCCCTCTCCTGCACAGAAAATCAAAGTACAGGAGCCCTCTTCAATTTTCACTCTGGCAATCTGAATGCAGAGCCTCCTTGGTACTTGCTCCCTAGATTTCTTGTGCAGAAAGAAAAAAGGCAGAGAAGAAAACCTGGCAATGAGTTATACACTTGACAAGTGTTGAGCCTGATACAGACAAAAGGACTAAGAATAACATAGGTCCTGATACTTACCTCACTGTGGTCGTTGTCTCCATATTTGCCATTGAGATTGGCCAAGTGGCAGTTCTTATACCACCAGCCACCATAGTGTGACAAGGCGCAATTGCTGATCGCAATGTCACTGTCCCTGTCCCGGGTAGTAAATTTATAACCATGATGGTAGGACATGGCATCCCCTGAATCAGGAGGAGAAAGAAACATTAGAATCATAAGTATTCTAACTTCATGAACTCACCGGACTCCTGTCACCAGAACTGGGAAGACATATTATTTATAAGAGATGTCAAAAAGGTAACAGAACACCTTTCAAAGTCCAATATATACTATTCTAGCCAAGTGAAAACTACAGGCCCTTACATACCGCCATATAATCCAGAATATCAAGGCAGAAAATCCACAATATCTGCTTTGAACTGGGTTATCTGAATCCACACGGTCATATAATCCACACTGTCATATAACCAAAGTGCTCTTCCAGCAGTCATCAGCCAATCCCTCTCCAATGCCAGAAATACAGCTTAATGGTGTAACATTAGAAAATGTTGATCATTTCTGCTACCTTGGCAGCCACCACCCCACAAAAGTTAACATTGACACTGAAATCCAACACCGTCTGAGCTCTGCGAGTGCAGCATTTTTCCGAATGAATACAATGAAGCAGAGAGTGTTTGAGGACCGGGACATCCGTAGGGATACCAAGGTGCTTGTTTATAAAGCTATTGTCCTCCCAACCCTGCTATACGCCTGCGAGACATGGACTGTCTACAGACATCACATGCAACTCCTGGAACAATTCCATCAGCACTACCTCCGGAAAATCCTGCAAATCTCTTGGGAAGACAAGAGGACAAATGTCAGCATGCTGGAAGAAGCAAAGACCACCAGCACTGAAGCGATGCTCCTCTGCCATCAACTCAGCTGGACTGGCCATATTATCCGGATGCCCGACCACCGTCTCCCAAAGCAGTTGCTCTACTCCGAACTCAAGAACAGAAAATGGAATGTTGGAGGACAGGAAAAGAGATTTAAAGATGGGCTCAAAGGCAACCTTAAAAACTCTGGCATAGACACTGAGAACTGGGAAGCCCTGGCCCTTGAGCACTCCAATTGGAGGTCAGCTGTGACCAGCAGTGCTGTAGAATTTGAAGAGGCACAAATGGAGGGTGAAAGAGAGAAATGTGCCAAGAGGAAGGTGCGTCAAGCCAACCCCGACCAGGATCGCCTTCCACCTGGAAACCAATGCCCTCACTGCGGGAGAAGATGCAGAGCAAGAATAGGGCTCCACAGTCACCTACGGACCCACCGGAGGTACACCGACCTTGGAGGACCATCATCATCGGACAATGTAAGTAAGTATAATCCAGTTCAATGTGGACTTTATACAGCTGTGTGGAAGGGGCCTTTGTGGTTTTACAAAATAACAGAAATGACATTTCAGACCAGCTAATCTGATCAAAATGGACTGTTGTTTTGATGAAAAGAATAGGCATTGGCCAAAATCCTCATAAAATACTTTTATGTGCCTTGTTCCAGGAAATCTACAGGGCCTGCTTGTGCAACACCTTTTCCAGGTCTCCACAATGGCAGCCATAGAGCTACAAGGGATGGAGTGCAAAGGCATCACTCCCCCCCCTCCCATTGCATACATTTAAGATGTACTTATGCACATGTTGTCACTGATATACATTATTAGAATATTTCATTATTATTATTATTATTATTATTATTATTATTATTATTATTAATACCCTGTCACCATCTCCCCGAAGGGGACTCGGGGCGGCTAACATGAGGCCAAGCCCAAAAATAAGTACAGTAAAATAAAATACAAAATGCAAACAACAAAAAACAACAAAAAGTACATCACAATAAAATACCTACAATAACAAAATAGAGTAAACAAAGCCAAATAACATAATATAAAATGAAGTTAAAGAGCAAAGACAGAGAGGAAAATAAAGGGATATCTGTGTTGGGACTCAATCACAGCCTGACACAAGTTTATAGTCCTCATCAAGGACTTAGGACACTTCCACAGAGTCATATAACCCAGAACATCAAGGCAGATAATCCACAATATCTGCTTTGAACTGGATTATCCGCATCCACACTGCCATATAATCCAGTTCAATGTGGATTTTATATAGCTGTGTGGAAGAGGCCCTAAATGAGTAAGTCCCACCCAGGGCTAGTAAAAAAGGGGCCTATCCGATTCCCTTATTGGAGTGCAAAATATTGTTAGAGGAAGCAAAAGACGTTCCTTACCTGCTGTGCCTCTGTACTTTCCCACAGCCAGCCTGTATCTCTCTCTGCTGGAGCCCACCTGGAATAGGTCATAGACAGCGTATGCAGAGTCATTGTGTGTTTGCAAATCCACCCTCAATTCATATGGAACAGGGGAAGAAGTGGTGAGTTCATGAAGCTTCTCAAGACCTAAAAGACACAAAGTAAGGGCTACTGTAGACTTGTAAACAGCTTATTCTCCTGGTCAATCAAAGTATAGAATTTTAAATCAGTAGAGCATCTCCTGGCTGATGATCTTGATCAGACCTGCACAACTTGGCAGTCGGTAGGGGCCAAAATTAACATAGGCTAAACTTCTTCAGGTCGCAGATAGGTTTTTAGTGTAAAGTACATCGGAGATTGGGGATGTACGCACAATCTGCTCACTCTTCCCAAATTACATACAAAATACAGATACAGTACCAAGCCAAAATTCTCCAGTAGAGTCTCCAAAGCCATCAACGTAATTCCTCCAGCGCTTAAAGAAATCCAGCTGGCCTGTGTTCCTCCTTTGAAACACCTGCAGAAGCAAGCAAAAGCCAAGTGGCTTATCTGTTTGGTTGAACACTGATTTCTGAGCATTCAATAAGATTATAAATGAAAATCAAACATAAGGTGCCTCATGAACTATGGATGGAGTAGGAATACTTAGAGTGAAAAGAACCAAGAACTGTTCTCATTTGACTTTTTTTCCTACATTTGGATTCTGAAGGTGTTGTGGAGCATCACCCATGCATTAACTATTATTTCTATTCCTGTTTCTGTAGTTGACTTAGGTCCCTTCCACACAGCTGTATAAAATCCACATTGAACTGGATTATATGGCATTGTGGACTCAGATAATCCAGTTCAAAGCAGATATGGTGGATTATCTGCCTTGAAATTCTGGGTTATATGGCTGTGTGGAAGGGCCCTCACTTGTCAATTTGCTGCAGTTCTGGACTCAACGTTTTCCCCTTTCCCACACTTTACAGATTATTTATCTGTAGTATCCAAGATGGTATCTGTGGGCAATGATATCTGGACTCTTCTCTGAGGCCCCTTCTACACTGCCATATAATCCAGTTTATCAAAGTAGATTTTTTTTTTGTCATGTCAGGAGCGACCTGAGAAACTGCAAGTCGCTTCTGGTGTGAGAGAATTGGCCGTCCGCAAGGACGTTGCCCAGGGGCGCCTGGATGATTTGATGTTTTATCATCCTTGTGAGAGGTTTCTCTCATGTCCCTGCATGAGGAGCTGGAGCTGATAGAGGGAGCTCATCCACCTTTCCCCGGATTTGAACCTGCAATCTGTTGGTCTTCAGTCCTGCCGGCACAGGGGTTTAACACATTATCTGCTTTGAACTAGATTATCTTAGTGTACACTGCCATATAAAAGGTAAAGATTTCCCCTGACATTAAGTCTAGTGTCCGACTCTAGGGTGTGGTGCTCATCTCCATTTCTAAGCCAAAGAGCCGGCATTGTCCGTAGACACCTCCTAGGTCATGTAGCCAGCATGACTGCATGAAACACCATTTCCTTCCCGCAGAGCTACTCACATTTGCATGTTTTCAAACTGCTAGGTTGGAGAAGCTGGGGCTGACAGCGGAAGCTCACACTGCTCCTCGGATTCGAACCACCAACCTTTTGGTCAGCAAGTTCAGCAGCTCAGAAGTTTAACCCACTGTGCCACCGGGGACTCACACACTGCCATATAATCCAGTTCAAATCAAATAATCAGGATTTTATATAGCATTGTAGAAGGGGCCTATTTTTCAAATAAACATACCCACACATATAATATACACATGCACAAATGCAATATACAGTTCCTGCCTCAACTATTTGATGTATTTTGGTGACTTCTAAATACCAGGGCACACCTAACCTTTACTACACCTCTGTAAGGTCTACAAAGGTAAGAAGTGTAATTTTGGTGTATTGGTTGTTGTGCCAGTCCTACTTACAGTATCAACACCATATAAAGGGCAAATTCAGTGGTGGGAGTGCTTTGGAGAAAAATAAAAATAAAACAATTCTAAATGCAATCATAAGAGCAGCATTTTTAGGACCAGAGCAGCACTCACGATCCAACCACCTCCATCCGTGGTCATGTCGCAGAACACCTGGAAAGGCTTGTTGATGTCCCCATTCAGATAGATAGTGTACAAGCCATTGGTGGAATGCCCATTGTGCTGGACCTGGCTGCAATCCGCAGGATAGGGATAGAGCAAGCTGACTGCAACAACAAAGCAGATTAAATGATATTTTAAAAATACAAAAGTGAATGTGGGCAGCCCAACTTTTTAAAAAAGGAGTTTGGAGCAAAGCAACACAGGACACAAACTGCAAAGGAAAATGAAGGAGAAAAAATAATAACAAGGTCTGAACATGAGTAAATGCAGTACCATGAGCAAAGCTTAAGAATGCAGGAGAAAATCTTACTGAATCCAGTAAAACTTACTTCTGAGTAGATACAAGACTTATAAACATGTGTGGCTGTTTTTGCTCAATCAATCTTACTTTCCTTTCCTTTTCCTTCCTAACTACCTTCCTTCCTCAGTATCAATTTTAGGCAGCCCCTTCCTTCCTTCCTTCCTGGATTTTATTTTGTGTGTGTGTGGGTCAAGAGTGACTTGAGAAACTGCAAGTCGCTTCTGGTGTGAGAGAATTGGCTGTTCTTCAAGGACATTGCCCAGGGGATGCCCAGATGTTTTGATGTTTTACCATCCTTGTGGGAAGCTTCTCTCATGTCCCCACATGGGGAGCTGGAGCTGACAAGAGGTAGCTCATCCACACTCTTCCTGGATTCAAACCAGCAACCTTCAGGTCAGCAGTTCTACTGGCACAAGGGTTTAACCCATTGCACTACAGGAGGCTCCATGGTGGGCACAGTGATAGTAATAATATTATTATTATTATTATTATTATTATTATTATTATTATTAGGTTCTTGTGGGTTTTTTGGGCTATAAGAAATGCCTCTAGAACATGGCAATATAGCCCGAAAAAACCTACAACAACCCAGTGATTCCGGCCATGAAAACCTTCAACAATACATTATTAATTATTATTATTATTATTATTATTATTATTATTATTATTTGTGGTATTGGTGTGAACTTGGCTTGGACTTTTAGGTTGGCATAGTGATAATAATAATAAAAATTGTTTATACTATCCTTGTGGGAGGTGTCACTCACATTCCCGCATGGGGAGCTGGAGCTAACAGAGGGAGCTCAACCCTCTGTCCCCAGATTCAAACCACTGGCCTGTGGGTCAGCAGTCGTGCCAGAACAAGCATTTAACCCATCGTGCCACCAGGGGCTCTTCCTTCCTGGATAATAACACAACTCTCCCATAAGCTCACTAAGAGGAAGATCTTTATTGGTCTACCTTGGAGAACTGTGGCCACACAGACTACAACTCCCATCATCTCCCTTGTCAGCAAAGCCAGTGATGAGGAAAAATCAGTATTTCAGTCAAGTAATGTGTTACTGTTAGTGTTAAGAATATCTGAAAAATAGCCTATTATTGCCTTTACTGTAGTTACTGTATTATTGAAAAACAATTCACTCAAGTTGTTGATCTGATTTTCCATTACTTTCTATTTCTTTTTTATTGTTTGAGTAAGAAAATGTCGTGAAAATGACCAATTCTTGTCAAAATGTTTCAAAGATCTTTTTAATGTAACTAGAAATGCTTAGTAGCAACACTATGTAATATGATGCGTGTTCCTGGGTTATACATGTCATTTCCTAATTGGTTCTGTCATAAAAATATGGGAAAGGATTATTAAGCATTTTTGGCGGGAAATTTTGCAGCGCATTTTGCTATAGTTTTTCATATAGCAAAATGTAGCGCAGCTGGCTGGGAGTCAGCTGCATTATGATCACTACTGATTGAAGGTCATGAGTTTGAAGCCAGCCCAGGTCGGAGTGAGCTTCTGACCAATTTGTGTACTTTGCTGTCGACCTTTGCAGCCTGAAAGACAAGTAGGAAGTTTAGGTACCGGATATGCGGGGAGGCTAATTTAACTAATTTACGATATACAATGGTATAGCAAGCATGCAAAGAATGAGGAAGTACTTCATCAGTGTCACAAATGGACGGTGAAGCGACAGCTCCCCCGGTGTACAGAATACCCTCATCAAAAGCTGGAATGTTAAATAGCCTCTGTGTGATTGTCTATATATGTTGTGTGTCTATGGCATTGAATGTTTGCCATGTGTATGGACATTGTAATCCACCCTGAGTCCCCTGTGGGGTGAGAGGGGGGAATATAAATACTGTAAATAAATATTTCATTGAGTCTTAACCAATTCAACATAGTTTGTGGCAGCCACAAAAACAAAGTTTCTGGAGTAAAACAGCTACTTTCAAAGTAAGTACTGTACAATTAAACAGGAAATAACTTTTCAAACCAGGAACAGATTTTTTTCCAAATTTTGTTACATAGTGTAAGGTAACAATTGCTTTTTAAATGTGACCTTGCCACAAACATGTCCTCCTCTTCCCGATGACAAAGTTATACTCTGAAGAAGACATTATTTTAAGCTGATTATTTCCAAGTTCTACTTTAAAATATAGGAAATATTACTGCAGTAACCTAGGCTTACCTGTAGTAAAGGTGGTAGTTGCTTTTCGGCTCCAGCGATCACCCCTAAAGGCTGTAATATATATGGTGTACTTAGTCCCCCGACTAAGGTTTTCTAGCACAAACGTTCGTTCATTAGGACCTAGATGTATTTCCTGCCACAAAAAGAGAAAAAGAAGGCTAAACATTGCACACCACAAAAAGTTTTGCTCCAGCTCATCCTGTCCTTCCTTGCATTCTTTAGTGATCTGTTCCCAGTGCAAACTGGGAGAGGAATGATTAGTGGTGGAAGGGACAACATTGCAGCACTGTGGTGAAAGGCACTTCATTTTCCCAGAGGGAAAAATAAGTTGGATGTATGGAATGCAAGGCAGAATACAAGTGAAATGTAAAGCCTTACCTTTAACCTTTGAATCGCAATTGTTCTGTTTTTAAAATGCATGCCACTCTTGTTCTACCTCCATGCTGCATGTTAAAACAATTTCTATTATTGCTGCTTCTGTCATCCATCTTTAGGTAATTTAAATATTTATTTA